AGCTTCTCACCACCGGAACTGGGTTTCTCTCCATCAGATGTGAGCACCTCTCCACTGGATCTGAGCTTCTCTCTACTGGATCTCAGCTTCTCACCACTGAAACTGGGTTTCTCTTCATTGGATGTGAGCATCTCTTCACTGGATCTGAGCTTCTCTTCACTAGATCTCAGCTTCTCACCACCGGAACTGGGTTTCTCTCCATTGGATGTGAGCATCTCTCCACTGGATCTGAGCTTCTCTCTACTGGATCTGAGCTTCTCTTCACTAGATCTCAGCTTCTCACCACTGGAACTGGGTTTCTCTTCATTGGATGTGAGCATCTCTTCACTGGATCTGAGCTTGTCTCTACTGGATCTGAGCTTCTCTTCACTAGATCTCAGCTTCTCGCCACCGGAACTGGGTTTCTCTACATCAGATGTGATCATCTCTCTACTGGATCTGAGCTTGTCTCTACTAGATGTGAGCTCTTCACTGGATCTGAGGTTCTTTCCACTGGAACTGAGTGCCTCTCCACTGGATTTGGGCTTCTCTTTACTGGATCTCAGCTTTTCATCTCTGGAACTGAGCTTCTCTTCACTGGGTCTGAGCATCTCTCCACTGGATCTGAGCTTCTCTTCACTGGATCTGAGCTTCTCTTCACTGGATCTGAGCTTCTCTTCACTGGATCTGAGCTTCTCTTCACTGGATTTCAGCTTCTCGCCACTAGATCTGAGCTTCTCGTCACTGGATCTGAGCTTCTCTTCACTGGATCTGAGCTTCTCTTCACTGGATCTGAGCTTCTCTTCACTGGATCTGAGCTTTTCTTCACTGGATCTGAGCTTCTCTTCACTGGATTTCAGCTTCTCGCCACTAGATCTGAGCTTCTCGTCACTAGATCTCAGCTTCTCACCACTGGATCTGAGCTTGTCTCTACTGGACCTGAGCTTCTCTTCACTGGATCTCAGCTTCTCACCACTGGAACTGGGTTTTTCTCTGCTGGATCTGAGCTTGTCTCTACTGGATCTGAGCTTCTCTTCACTAGGTCTCAGCTTCTCACCACTGGAACTGAGCTTTTCTCCACTGGATTTGAGTGTCTCTCCACTGG